GAAAAAGAAGAGCACTTAACAAGCTATATGTTGAAATGAGACATTAATCTGTGATCCTTCCAGTCAATTACTGTGTCTTTTCCTGTCGCCACTTTATTAATACCCTTAAAAATAAAAAACNAATCTGTGATCCTTCCAGTCAATTACTGTGTCTTTTCCTGTCGCCACTTTATTAATATCCTTAAAAAATAAAAAATTAAAAAAGAGGTGACTTTAGTACCACATTGTACACTATGGTGGTTTAATGTTTAATTACATTTATTGGTTATGGACCAACTCAATTAGGATTTGATGTGATTGCGACCCCCCCCCCCTAATTGAAGAATTAGGTATTCCATAAAGATCGATAGAATCAAAGTTTTTTTAAAGTGAAATTTTCTCTGATTTATCTGTTTTTCTCTTGTATAAAACTCATATTATTAATTTAAGCAATACTCATTATATATAAGTGCTTATTAATACATGATTAGTATAATCTATTAAAGAAATTTTAAAAAAAAAAAAATTAATAAAAGGGTTTTGTAGTGATGTTGATTGGCTAACTCTTGTAGTTTTTTTTCTTAATATTATTCATCTTGTTGGTAAGAAAAATGAATGTGACAGTTGACATCAACCTTTTTTGTATAATATTCGTGTGTCCATTATATATGGTAGCTTTTAATTCAATGACTTTTGATTATGATGGATAACTAACCAAATGATGCGATTTTAGCGGATAAAAAGTGATAGTGAGAAGAAGTAAATCGTAGCCTAATGATATATCTATGTCTTCTCCTATATATAAACTTCATTGTGCAAGCTTTACTTGTTTTTAGTTCGATCAAAATCGTTCGTATATATAAAAAAAAAAAAAATTATTGAATGTGATCAAATATTGAAGCTTATTTAATTCAACATAGACACAGTGCAATTATTCATCTTGAGAAAAAAATTACAAGGAGAATAATGGTTTTTAGTTTTTACCATTAGCTGAATCTAAAACCAATTTTGACAATTTTTTCACACGGTAGGCTTTTCCAAATTAATATTACTCCTTATAATACCCAAGAACCATAATAGCACTTTTGAACTATAGAACTTTCTAATTTTGTTTTTTAGAAAAATGTTATTTACATATAAAAATTTAACCTAATTTGTTGACGTAATGATGTAGTTTCATTGAAACCATTAGATCAACAATAAGTTTCAATATTTGATGGAGTTCACAATCAACCCAAAAATTATAGTAAATTAGATTAATAAACTATATCCGAATAGTATTGCTCTTTTTTTTTTTTTATCTATTATGTACTACAATAGATATGACATTTTTAAGATAAATTATACTTTACCTTAAAAGATTTTAAAATTCTCACTTTATACCTTTATAGCTTAAATTTTTTACCTTACACCCTCAATGTATCAAAAATATTACAATATAATTTTTTGTTAGCTTTTCATTAATTTTTTCGTCAGTGTGAATGGATTAGCTTTTGACAGAAAAAATAATCAAAGGTAATAGAAAAAATAATCGAAGGTAAAAAATAATGGTGTAATGTGAAAATTTTAGTATTTAAAAATGTAAAATAAAAATTTTGAAACTTTTCAAAATACAAAGTACAAAAAACCCTTTTTAAAAATAAAAATCAAATATATTTCACTAACTGTTTTCTACCTTGGGAGTCCTCTTATATATTTTGAGTCTTCCTTGTATTTATGATCGGTGATTTGCTATTGAAATATATTGAGAAAAAAAATACATTAGAGAGAATCTTACTTCAACTAGAAAAAAAAAAGAGTTATCATGTGGCGGGTGTGAACTGATTGAAGATTATATTCGAGTATAATTAATTACGTAACCACTCTAATAAACTCACGTCGCTAAACATTTTTTATCTTTTGGAAAATGTAGGACGTTAGGCAACGTGTCAATAAAAACTTGACACGTAGATACCCATAGTTGTCAGAACGCTTACAATTTGCCAAGAGGAGCTGTGCAAGTCAGATACTCCAAGGGTAAAGTATACTGCTCGAAACCTAGCATTAAATGAAGTATGACAAGTCATTAATGTGAATTGTGTTAGTATGACAGACCATTAATAATTGTCTAATCTTCAAAGAACGTAAAAACAATCAGCATCACAAGACATTAATGGCTATTAGATCGAGAGGATCTAATGTTTTCCATAAAGGCTCGATTATGGGCTTTGAGTACATGTGTAGAGCACTTGACGGGTGAGGATCGAACCATGAATACTTGACAGGCTCCCAAGAGAAGATTCAATTGCACAGGCATTTAGCATTAACGAGACAATACAGAATAACACTCATTATGCTAGATTGCAATTTTAGGCCATTAAATTCTAGGATGAGATTCTGAATAAGAGGCATCATTACGAATAAGTGTAAATACCTTTTCAAAAATTAAACTAAGGTGCGCAATCTGAATCAAGAATATACTCACAGCTTTCACTTGAATACCGACTAACTTAAACATCGAAGAAAATTAGTTGGGTATACACACGATTCTCGATTCTTTTTCAGTTTTAAGTTTACCATTCACGATCATTTAAAGGATTGATATCTCAACCCATTACAGGAATTTTCCGTACAAAAAGCTACTAGATGTCAATCCAAACCCTTCCAAGTAAAATTGGTGGAGTCCGATTCAAGGAATGGGTGCTGGTTTTTCAACTCCCATTGTACTAATCCATCAACATCTGAGACTAGGTTGTGATTTGTCACCCTAAGAACAATTTGGGGTCGTGTTACAACATTTTCTCAAAATTTGTTAAAATGTAAATCTTGTGCATCGTACGAGGCATCGGTAATACATAAATGATTCTTGGTTAAAAAAAATAAATAAAGTAAAAAGTAAGTCACCTACCAAATCCTGACTTTATTTGGACAAAATTACCTTAAGAAATTCTAGTGTTCCCTCTACTGCCTTCAAAATTATCTTTAGAAATAATCATATCTAGTTGGTTCACTCAATACCACAGCCGGTTAACAACAAGAAGAGCATGCTTTAGTGATTCAGTGGCTGGAAATCAGTTTGAACAGAGGCCCATGGTCACAGTCACTACAATGGAAAATACTATCGAATCAATCGAAATGCGTAGGGACGGGGTGGATAAGTGGGTCCAATAGAAGGAAAGAAAAAAAAAAAATTAAATGATAGGAGTGTCAATAGGGTTATATCTTATTATTTCTATGTCTTATCAATTTTGATCGTATTATTTTTATGTTGTGTCATTTTTAATGTATGTCGTATTCTTGTTAATAAAAAAATATTTAATTTTAAAATAACTCATATAATATTATTCAAAAAATCATAAAATATGTATTTTATTTTTTTTGTCTATAATACTAGTAAAATACCTATTTTCTATATATAATACATGTTAATTGTGTCTAACCTTAATTTGACACATTAATTATTCGTGTCATTTTTAAATTTTGTGTTGTGTCGGGTTCCTATTAACACTCCCATTAAATGAACTCTTTCACCGGGTACTGATCCATGGGTTCAAATTCATTTGGGATACATAGAATATTTTAATAAATCCTAGACGCATTATGCGTGGGTCATCTACCCCTAAAACAAATATTAGAGCTGATTTGGAACATAGAAACAAATGTAATATATCTACCTTATTAATTCTCTCTCTCTCTCTCTCTCTCTCTCTCTCTCTCCTTAAATCAAAATCACAACTGGAATATATTCATATAATTGGGAATTTTTTTTTTACAAAAATTGATTGAAAATTATAATATTTCCATATCCCTCATTACACTTTGTCCCTTATATTCTTACCGAATGTTTTACTTGTAATAGAAATTGAAGAAAAGTGTTGTAGGGGATTCAAATCTCTAGAAAAAAAAAAGTAATTATTTGTTTGATATTGATTATCCATTGAAATTCAATTTTTTTTATTAAAAAAATTGATTTGTAAATTTCAAAGACATTCTATCACTTATAAATCATATTAAAATCAAGACAAAAAATCCCATAAACCAATTGCATTCAAACAACAGACAATTTACAAAGGTATTTTCCCCATTTTGAAGGGTTAAATTGCGAAACCGAAAAATATATTTTTAATTTATTTTTTCACTCAATTATAAGATGATACGTAAATAATTATAAATATTGATTAACGAGTAAATATCAACCATGTCTCGTGGCCTCTGAGGTAACGCTAGTCACACAGTCCTAACTATGTGTTCTGAATGCCACGGTAAAAATAACCACCAAGTACCAAATAATTACGACACCATGCCTTTGGTCATTAGGACATAAATCTCCATGCCACCTGTCCGCACGGAAGTCCATTGTTGAGTAAAGCTATAGGGATACTATGGTAATTACATATCGTAATCTCAGAGTCTCAAGAGAGCCCATGGAAAAACGTCATCCAATGGCATTTCGGATAATTCCCTACAACCACAGGGGCATATTTTAAGTACTCACGATATATGTACCTTGAACTCCGGCACTTAACCACTCTTCCTCTCCTCTCCTATAAGACCGCAACCCCCTCCCTTCCCCTCTCTTCTCTGCTCTCTCTCTCTCCGGGCGGAGACACCTCTTAGACCACCGTCCTCAGACCTAGATCCACCCCTATCGTCAGATTCTGTCCACCTCCCCTCGATCCCTCTTCACCTCACAACCCTGCTACATACCCCCTCTCTCTCTCTCTCTCTCTCTCTCTCTCTCTCTCTCTGTAACATTTCCTGTATTTTCCATTTGTTTTTGTCCTTTTGTCTTTTTTCCAAAACATAAAATTTGTTTTTTTTTTCATTTTCCACCCCTGGTCCCCTACCGTATTTGATTCCTGCTCCCTTTACGTTTTAAACCCGGTCAGTCTGTTTTCAATTTGAAGTTTTTTAAACTCTTTTCCCGGTTTTGCCCTTTTATTTTGTTTTTGCAAAATATCATGGTTTTTGACGGTTTTAACCTTTAGAAACCCAGATAGTGCTTACGTGGAATGCATTAAGTCCCAAAACGGACGGCTAGGATGAGTCACCACCCGCGTCAAGTCTTGAGTCCTGGGGCGTCGCGAAAACGCAAAGAGAGAGAAGCATTTTACTCCGTTAAACCGTTAAAACAAACGGTAAATATTTCTGTTACTACTACGACGTCGTCTAAAGCAGCTGAGCCGGTTTCGTCTAATCGGCTTCTAGCTGGATACATGGCTTACGAGTTTTTAACAAAGGGTACTCTGTTGGGTCAGAAGTTTGACCCGGCTCGAGCCGGGGCTGTGCCGGTTGTCGCAACTGAGCTGAGGAGGCATAAGCAGGTGCAGAGTCAGAGTTCGGAGGCCGAGCCGAGCGGGAGAGTAAAACCGGGTCCGAGTCAGACTTATGCTGAGGTGGCGAATTTGATGAAGAGTGATGGGGATGGGGTCCACATACCGGGGATTGTCAACCCTACGCAACTCGCTCGGTGGATTCAGATGTGACATGCGCGTGGGATTACGTGGAAGGATTTCATTGGTTGGACGTTTTGTTGGTCCACCTAAGAAATAGTGCAACCTCCCCTACCGTATAGAGATCTCCTTAGGTGGTGAGTCGTTGGTGCACAAGCATTTCTCTCTTTTCTCTCCTCTCTCTCTCAAATATCGGCCAGACGGGAAAACCAATTAGTGACAGATTCCGGCAATCCTTCTCTCTGTTTTAAGTCTCCCTCTCTCTCTCTCTTTCCTGTATATTGTTCTATCTCTGAGTTGATGAGAGAGAAAACCTGTGCTGTTTGTTGTTGTAGTAGTTGTTATGATGTTTTTGTTTATCTGTGCTTTTCATTTTATCTTTGTTGCTGGTACAAGTATGTTGATATACTTAAACCTCTCGTTGTTTGTTGGTTTTTGATGATGCATGCATGTGTGTGTCTTTGTAAATGGTGGTAGTATATGACATAACAATAGCACTTACTTGCATGTTTGCATGCCTCAAGGGTATAATGCAATGTGTAAAATGAAGGTATAATACATGTTTACTAGAGGGTAAACATGGGTAAAATGTTAGGCTGTGGATGGGCAATTGGACATACATGTGGTTGAATGTGCATTTTTTAACGAGTAATGCTATTACGATCAAAAAAATTAATTTAATTTGTTGAACTAATGATGTGACAATGTTCAATAATGTTGTTATGATTGTAATTTTTTCATTAGAACGTACTTGACTCATTATTGTGTCAGCAAATTAATCAATTTTTAAGTCACAATAGCATTACTCTTTTCTAACGTGAACATGTCCTATCCCAAATTTAGAGACATAATATATTATGAGTGTTGAATTGATAGTGGAGTACATTCGATGTTGGGCTTACTTAATAGTCACAATTATTATGTTCCTAAATTATGTCTGAAGAGAATTGTTCCTTTGACAATGTTCGTAAAAACTGAAGGAGATTCGAATTTACACAAATTTACACCTCCAATTGCATCTTCCCACACCATTTGCTCGTTAATTTGCATTGTTCTTATGTTACTATTTACTCACCGCCGTGCACCACCTTGAATTATAGCTTATCCTTTGTGAATATGTCATGAAATTCACGATGAGGGTTACAAACCTTCTCTATCCCACATTGAGATTTTATAAAAAGGCCGGCTTGGGCATGTTCAACTTCTTCGATTAGGTTACCACGTGGGGCTTGGTTTAGTTGAGGATGTGATTCGATTAGTTTCCATACGCTTTTAGGCATCTTTTATAAGTTTTGCCCCAAAAGTCCACTGTGAATTGAGAATGTGTCATTGTGGATTCATAGATTGAACTTGACAGATTTCACTGTGGAAAGACCTTCACGACACAATCTACCTCAATGCATTTGTTCAATCGGGTTGGCAAGTGTACTTCGAAACTCTTTTCCACCGCTTCGTAGCCAATGCGGACATTTATAGATGCAAGGCCTCGGAAACCTACTCTCTCTCGGGGATAGTGCTCTTCTTTTGAGTTCTAAGTCGCGATGTTAAAGAAACTTGAGTGAAAGCATTACCTGCTAACAATCACAGAGATGAATCAGAGCTGACAGGGCTTCCCTCTTTCATCGGGGATTCTTTCAGTGTTTCCTTTTTTTTTTTTTGGGGGGGGAGGGGG